CTGGCTTCCTCTCTCCTCCATTCTCTAGTTTCCTTCTGGTCTTAGATAAAACCTGTTCTTTCATTTAGCTCCTTGCCTTCTCTAAAAGGATAGTTCTTTCTCTTCCTAAACCCTAGTCTTGCGTTCCTTCATGATAGACTGCCCCCTGGCGGTGGAATTGTGGGAAAAGTCAACATTGTGATTTTTTACCTGTCACACATCATAAAATGAGGGTACAAAATGTAAGCATTCCGTTGTGGGCAGAGAAGAGGGGTCTGTCTAGTTTCCTTTGGCTTCCTTCCTTTATCATCGCGAAGGTGTTTTAGTGTTACACCGACCCTTCCCTTCCTTGGGTTTCCTGGGGAAGAGAACAGGTAATGGTCAATTGACTATAAGTAATATGGAGCAATAAATCAGAACTATTGAAATGCCATGGCTCCCCAGATATTCTTGTGCGACATCAAACAGTAGGATCAGATAAGAGAGAGTTGACAGATAAATTTTCATTCATTATAGAATTGATGATACTCTAAAAGAAGTTGGATATAATTCAGGTTTTATTTAATTGACAATAATCCTCAGTTATGGAATATCAGGTATTCAGACTCCAGCCTGCTGAAACTCACATGTTCCTGGAATGGCTCTAGATCAGTTAGTTATTGGTACATACAAAATACTCTCAACAGAGTGGCATCCAACAAACATCATTTGTTATTGCTCCCAAATCAAGGGCGAAGATGGGGGCTGGCTGCTCTCCACTATCAGTTAGTTATAGCTAACTGCCTGTGGGTTTCCTGGTGCTCCTCCTCTAGGCTGGCTTACCTGCAATAGATCTGTTCCTTGTGTCATTTATCCTCCTTCCGAGACCAGCAGACATGCCTGGGTACGTTTTTCTCATGGAAATGTCAGGAATCCAAGAAAGCAAGCACAAATACTAACAGATCTTGAGACTTAGGGTAGGAACTAGTCTACTGTTTTTGGCAATCACCTCACTCAACTAGCCAAGGCATTTCAAGTGATAAAACTCAGATTCAAAGGTGGAAGGGAGCCCTAATGGGTTTGGTTCAGTGGACAGAGCGTTGGCCTGGGGACTCAAGGGTCCCAGGTTCCAATCTGGTCAAGGACATGTACCTTGGTTGCAGGCACATCCCCATTAGGGAGTGTGCAGGAGGCAGCTGATTGATGTTTCTCTCTCATTAATGTTCCTAACTCTCTATCCCTCTCCCTTCCTCTCTGTAAAAAAAAAATCAATAAAATATATTAAAAGAAAGGTGGAAGGGAGATTCTGCCTGTGTAGTGAAAAAAACCATTAAGTCACATGGCAAAGGATGAGGATACAGGATGTATAAAGAATTAGGGCAATTATGCGATTTCCACAGCTATCTATTAGCTATAACAATAATAATAATAATAATAATAATAATAATAATAATAAAAGACTAAACGAGCTGTAGGATTTAGTTGATTCATTGCCTGGAAGAAAAGAGTTCTATTCTTCCATATACACTGAGTGGCCAGATTATTATGATCTCTGAATGCATAACAATCTGGCCACTCAGTGTGTATATATATATTAGAGGCCTAGTGCATGAAGTCATGCATGGGTGGGATCCAGCCAGCCTGGCGGGAGGGGGGGGGAAGGGGCTTTTGGCTGGCCTGCCTGCTGGTTGGACTCCTTGTTGAGAGGACAATTTGCATATTAGCCTTTTATTATATAGGATCATAATAATCTGGCCACTCAGTGTATATATACAAAATCATAAAATTAAGGGGAAAGAGGCAAGTTAGAAAACAAAGAAAGGGGGAGGAGAGGGACAGACAGCAGTGATGGTAAAAATCAGAGGACCCTGGAGCACTCCCTGAAGCACACAGGTACTGTGAAGATAGAATAGTGATGTCAGAAGCTATCTTGAACTTGAACCATTGTTTTTAAACAGATTTCACATAAAAATCCAAATTTCTGACTTTTCTTGGAAAACTGGAAGCTCTGCAACACCGGGTCCACTCCTATATGGTCCTTTAGTGCTCCAGAACTCAGTAGTGGGCTGTTATCTGCTCTATCCATTCATTTACTTTACCTCTTCAGCCCTTGAGGTCATTTGTATTTGCTTTATACAGTATTAGTTCTATTAGTTTCTGTTTCATAAGTTTTAGATGGGTTTCTGGAATGCTCATTACCTACTGAACATCTGTAGTGAATGCCTTGCAGGCACCTCAAACTCAGTATTATCAATAAAATAAAAACTGAAGCATCCTGCCCTCCCCCATGCAGCACACTCTCCTCCAATAGTTCCTACCTCTTTTGTCCAAGCTAGAAACCTATCCATTACTTTGACTTTTTTTTTCCTCCATCAAATATACTAAAAAATGTGACTTTATTCACAATAAAATAACAGAGTACCTGCTAGTGGCAAATTCCAGCAGGCCATAATTATGCAACAAGTTCATCAGAAAGCTGATGGACCTTGGGGCTTTAGCAGGGCTGAAGATCTGCATATTATTGCCTACTGCCAGACAGCTGAGGACAGTTCCCCCAATCTGATGGTCCTTCATTGTTTATCAGGCCTCATCTTTGATATGTATATCTGGTTTGCTAAAGGGAAAAATGTAGGAATAAAAAGCTATGGGTCTGGATATTCAGAGGGCCCACTTCTCTAGAAAGTGGAGCCTTCCCTGCTCCACCATGCTTTCCACATTTATATTTCTTGTCTAATCTCTCTATCCATTTATGTGCAGCCCTTCTCCAGATTCCTGAACCTTTGCTGCAAAAAGACCCTTGCAATTACCCAGGAAATAAACTAAGAAAGAATGCCTAAGACCTTTATCATAAAAAGTATTAGAACTATATTAAAGTACAAACAAGAATGAATAAAAAGAACAAAAAAAGAACATGTGGATAGACTATCTTCTTCCCCCTCTTCTTTTTGGATGGGATATCTTAACATAGTAAAGTTTTATGTGAATTCTTCCCAAAGAAAGTTATACATTCAATGAAATCTTAATAAAAATACCATTGAGTTGTTTGAGGAACTCAACAAACTCATTCCAATATTTATATGGAAAACAGGGGTTCATGAATAAGTCAATTTTGAAAAGTAAAAGCAGAGTAGCAACTTTTCCTACCAGATATTAACATATACTACAAAACCAAAGTGATGAAAATAGAATGGCTCTGCATAGGAACAGACTAATATACAAACAAAACAGAATAGAGAGCTCAGAAATAGACCCATACATATATGGGAACTTAATAGATGATAAAGGTGGTACTACAAAGGAATGTAAAAGAGATGTTCTGAAGAAAACTAGGTCATTATTTGGAAAAATACATCTAAATCCCTCCAGTTGGAGTGGAGAACTAAATGTGAAAGTTAAAATTATAACATTATAGAAGAAAATATGACTCAGGATGGGAAAAGACTTCATAAATAAGATTTAAAAGCCCAAATCATAAAGCATATGAAATAAAATGAAGTTAAATAGTGATTTGACTACATAAAAATGAAGGATTTCTGTTCAATAATAAAAAAATAGACAAAATTATCAGATAGAGAGTAGTTATCTGCAAAGATTAGTATCTAGTTTATAGAAAGAATTGCCAAACAACCCCAAAAAAACAAACCATACATCCACCAAGAAATAGGCAAACAAAAAGATATAAATAGGCAATTCACAGAAGGACAAGTCCAAATAGCCATTTCAACAAATAAATGAAATCCTCTGGTAATCAGAGAAGTGCAAATTAAAACAACAATGAAACACCTCTTTACATTCGCAAAAAAATAGAAGAGTGACTAACGTTAAGTATTAGGATGTGGAGGACACAGAACTCCTGTGAACCGTTGGTGAAAGGGTAAAGTTATACAGCCATTCTGGAACAATCTAGTGGAACATAGTGAAATCAAATGTTTGCCCTATAAACCAAAATCACATTCCTTGCTACTTCTCCCAAAGAAACCAGTGCACAGGTCAATAAAATGGCACCAACAAGGTTTGTTTTCTCATTGTGCTATTGAATGTTTTATAGAGAATTGGAGATAACTTAGATGTTGACAACTATTGGACTAAATAATATGTGGTATACATATATCTTCAAATACTATGCAGAACTTAGATGTGTATATAGAGAGCAACATATATTAATTTTTAAAACATTTTAATCAAGTACTATTTAGGTAAAAGAAAGATACATGCAACATTTTATAAGGATAGATTTATATTTAAATTTCACAAAAGTGAGAGTGGATATTCATACAGACAGAAAGGAGGCAATGGGACTGGTGAATAGAGACCTACAGGAAAACAAAAACAACCTCCACTCCTCAAACAGAAGAGCCGCCCATGGGCCAACGTTGGTGATGGATGATGTTCTGTGAACTAAGGGATACGATTAAGTACAAAACAATAACTAAAAACAAAAATTACAAAATAAAAAAAAATAGTGAATAATGTCAGGTAGTATGCTTCGCAAGGGCAAAAGCTTGAGGCCAAAGGCCGCGACCCGCTCGGCCACTCCAGGTCTTCTTAGCTCCTTTCCCACATCACCCTGTACCGCCCGCCCCCAGCAGCTGGCGGGAAGGGCGCATGCGCACTGCCAGACCCTTCCCGCTTCCCCGTCGCTCCTCTTCCGGTCTCGGCCCCGCCCACAGCGGGCGCTGTCGTTTCCGGTTCAGCCTCGGGAACAGCCGGAGCGCTTTGGGCCTTCGCTTTCTTAGGTCCTCCCACTTCTCTAAACGCTTCCGCGACTGCCTCGGTCGCTGGGGAAGGCAATAAAGTTTTACTATTTCAAAGCCGAGCGGGTTGGGCCGGGTCCAGCCGCCTTCCTCTGGCCCGTAGTCCGCCGTTCCTCTCGGCTCCTGGCTCCGAGCGTCAGGCCGTCATGGCCCGGGGCCGCCGAGGCCGGGCGGGCTTGAGGCCGCCTTCCGCTGCCCACGCGCTCGCGTGGCTCCTGGGGCCGCCGGCGTCCGCCTCCGTCTGAGCGCAGCCCCTGGGCGCCCACGGGCCGCCTCGCGCCGGACCCCATGGCGTCCGAGGCGCCGCCTCCTTCGTTGTCTCCATCGCCACCCGCCTCCCCGGAGCCGGAGCTGGCCCAGTTGAGGCGGAAGGTGGAGAAGTTGGAACGCGAGCTGCGGAGCTGCAAGCGGCAGGTGCGGGAGGTGGAGAAGCTTTTGCACCAGACGGAGCGGCTGTACCAGAGCGCCGAGAGCAACAACCAGGAGCTCCGCACCCAGGTGCGCGGTCCGCCGGCCCCGCGCCGCCCCGCCCCGGCCCGCCCCGGCCTGGCCTTCGAAGCCTCTGGTGGCCCCTGGCACATGAAAGAAATAAAAGTTCAGTGCAATTAAAATTCCATGTACTTTTGTGGAGCAAACCTAAGAGTTCCAGTTACTCGATTTAGATAAGCGCGTGGGCACACGTTCCGGCTGGTGTGCATTGAACTTCTGTCCTTTTAGGTTGTCTTCGTTCTCACGGCATTGCCCGTTGGCAGCAGGCACATTTAATATCTTCTAGGTCACTTTTGGGTTTCTTAAAGCGCTGGATTTTAATCAGAACCCCATCTGTCTGATCCTGACCCTCGGTTGCCCATAAAAAAGAATGCGAGCACCGCACCGGTGAAGGTTAAGTTAAGCGTGAACATTATGTAAAGTGGTCATTCTGGGCGTTTGTCATTCTGGGCGTTTCCCATTTTGCGTGTTCTGTTGGAAGGAGAGAAGATATAACTTCCTTTTGCTAGAGACTAAGCAGCTAACTTCATTTTTATAAAATACATTAAGGATAAATATTTAAACTGTCACACTTAAAAAAAAAACATTTAAAGAGGAGCATAATACTTTTTTTCCAACCTGATTTGTTTGGCCGTTGCACTGTGTCCTGATGTTATTTTCACACAGTTATTAATTTCAATTAAACTGTTGTCCTTTGTAATATATGGGATACCCTTGCTAAAAACCACATATGCAGTCGGAACCCTAAAATGTTTCCAGATTTTGATATACTTTATTATCAAATCTGTGAAAAGAACTGCTGAGTTGCAATGACTTGCTATGCCCATTCCATAGTTATTGACAGTATGATATAGAAAATTTGAATTTGTTTATTCAACTAGTTTTTGAACACCTGTAATGTATAAGGACCGTGCTAGGAGAATATAAATATTGTCAAAATATCTTGGGGGAAGGGGAGCAAAATATGACAGCCTTTTAAAAAGCCTTTTTTAAATTCCATTTGTTCAAGTAATGCCTGCTTTTGAGAGAGATTAAGAAAAAACCGCAACCAAAAAACAAATAAACATGTTTGCTAACCATTGGGAGCCAGCATTTTGGTTTTTCGTGTTATTTTAAGAATGGTCTAACATGAAACATTGAAATGGATGCAGCTTGACTCTGCTGGTGATGATAATTACTCTTTACTCTCCTTATCAATGGCCCCTGCTCGTGGTAGAGTTTGGTTGTTAACTGTCACTCCGAATTATTAAATAGTGTTTTATCTGGAGTAGTTAAAAACTGGGTTAGAAAAACATAATATGCACAAGCATTGGAGGCAGTACAAACTTGTGCAAATTACTCTGTCTCCAGGTTTCTCACATATAAAATGGGGATTAGGAAAACTAATTAGTGAGATGGTTGTAAGAATTAATAAAAATGTTATCCAAAGTAACACCTATAGTGCCTAGCACATAGCAGATACTAAAGAAACTATCTAGTTTACAGTAATAGTGATAGTGGCAGAGCGGAACCAAGACTGGACAAGGCAATGGGTAGTCTAGGGTGAAACATTTAAGAAGGCTCTGACTCTCAGGTATAGACCCAATACTTGCAGGAAACTGAGACTGAGTACCTCCTTAATTTGCTAACTACGTGCCTTGCTTGATTCGCCCTAGTTTTAGCCCTGGTTGTATGGGTAGATCTGATAATTTATGAAGATTTTTGCCTAGATTATATATAATCAAATTTTAAATATGTTTTTATTAGTTTCAAAGGAAGGGAGAGGGAGAGTAGAAACATCAATGATGAGAGAGAATCGTTGATCACCTGCCTCCTGCACACTCCCTACTGGGGATTGAGCCCACAACCTGGGCATGTGCCTTAACCTCCTGGTTCATAGGTTGACATTCAATCACTGAGCCACACTAGCTGGGCTTATATAATCAGTTTTATCCCCTTTCTCTTTTTAAGCTTTATGTGTTACTAAAGAACTAGTTAGAAGCCTGTTTTTAGTTTCTTTCATGCCTGTAATAGACACCTCACTCTTAGATGTTGTCTGAGGTGAATTGAGAAGGCTGCTCCTCATTGCTTATGGGTATTTCTGCACTCCGTTGCTCTAGCTTTGGCAGTCAGTGAGGGACAGGGAGAATAGATGCCGCTCTGAGGCAGTCCTGTTTTCTGCTGCAGTTATTCAGTCATAAGACTACAATTTAAAGAAAAATCATACATCAAAGTACTTTTTAAGTTAAATGCATGAGAATTAATGTTTTTTTCCCTTATTCTTTAGAGAGAACTGCTAACCAATTAAAATATTACTATAAACACACTCATATTTTGGAAATAAATGATTCTGTTTATAAAGTCCTGTTAATTTAGTCTATTTGATTTTCAAAGGGGATATTTTGAGGTTTATCAAGAGATGATAAGAATAAAAAGCATTTCCCTCTGCACATGCAAAAGATGAAAGAAAGTAAATGATAGTATTTTCAGTTTTTCTAAAAAAGGAAACTGCCTATTATTGGTACTTCTCTGAAAGTTATCCCAAGAAAAAATAATTATTGTAATTTCAAGAGAATGGTATGCATTTTTTTAGATTGCTCTATGATTTCTTTTTCCTAAAGCCTTGTTTTCTTTTAGGTAGAAGAGCTCAGTAAAATACTCTATTGTGGGAGAAAGGAAGATAATAAGAAGTCTGATGTAGAAGTACAAACAGAGAACCACCCTCCTTGGTCAATCTCAGGTATTTAGTTGATATTGGAGATATCCTACCATTTATCACATTCAAATCATGCTAATATGTAATTTTCATTAAATTTAAAATAGACAAATGTCTAGATAAATATGAGTTCTGTTACAAGGGTGTCTTCTCTCCATATGATTATATATTTCATTTTCAGAAAATTGATTTGCTCTTCTGATACGAAAGTAGAAATGCATTGTCATTCCTATAAGTACATAGGATTTCTACTGTGTCTTTAGTGGCACATTGACTGAGTAATTTCTGCCATGCTGTGAGCCATTAACCCTCATATCTGATCTTCCATGTGATCCAGGTGCATGATGTTGATGTATTCCACTTAGTATTGTGTTCAGTGACAGTCTCTTAAGCCTTTGTGGGAATGGTGAGCCCACAACCATGACCTCATCAGTGGAATTATGTTGTGAGGCAAAATAACTGAGTAACTGAGTTTTCATAAATAGGGATAAAAAGAAGTTATTTTTCTATTAAGTTTGTTTTATTTTAGTCAGCATATAATTTAGTTAAATTGTAAACACAGCAAAAGCACTACCATTACATACCTGCATAATATATTTTTTAAAAGTCAGCATTATGAGAGATGTTTGACAGAGAAATCAACCTTTGACATGTCTTCATTCCATTGACATTTGATATACAATGATAGTAACCTAAATGGTTAGAAATTGTGAAGAGTTGCTAATTTTTTTTTGATAGAATACAACTTATTTACCTATTTTCTTTTTTAGTCTTGCTATGGAAAATAAAAATCTGCTTACGGTTTTTAATTTTTTTAACTTGACAGCTAGGGTACTTAAAGTGACATTAGAATCAAAGATTAAAGCATCTGCAGATTTATCTGCACTATGAATTTTAATCTGTTAAAGTGTATACAATTATAAAAATACAGAAGACCCAGTGCATGAAATTCGTGCATAGGAAGTGGGGGTCCCCTCAGCCAAGGCTGCGCCCTCTCCAATCTGGGACCCCTTCGGGGATTTCTGACTGGCCTGGTCGCCCCATATAGCCTGCTTGTTCAGTCGTGTGGTCGTGGCTCACTAACACCCCTGCTGGCCTGGTCGTAAGCAGTCATCTTGTGAGGGTGCAAGGATTAATTTGCATATTACTTCTTTATTATATAGGATGGTTTGCAGTGTGTACTGTTTTGTGTTCAGTGCCAATGTTTTAGAATTCTAAGTCCTTTTTATATACACTATTCTAATATGTATCACAATTTGTTTTTGCTATAGATTATTATTATCAGACATATTATAAGGATCTTAGTCTTCCAAATAAAGTGACAGAACTTTCAGTTCAGCAAGATCAGGATATCGAAGCTTCTGCTTATAATTTTAAAGACCAATCACAAATAGAAAATGAGGTGTACGCTGGTACTGATGTAACGGAAAAGGTTGAATGTGAACAAGAGGACCACTTTGCTTCAAATTCACAGGTAATAAAATGCTGCTTCTACTGATGCCCAAAAACTTGACCTTCATTATTGTTATTATGCAAATTGAGTTCTTTGCTCCATGACAGCTTATATACAAGGGTTATAAATATTCTGTATATAATTATGCAGAATATTACACTTTTAGAGAAACAAAAATTGCTCATATATTTGTTTCCTCTTTGTTGTGTTCTAGAATCTTGTGATGTACATAAATAACACAAAAAGGTTGTGGGTTCGATTCTCAGGGCACATACTGAGGTTGCAGGTTCGGTCTTCACTCAGGCACAGAAGAGAGACAACCTTTTTGTGTACGGGATGACATTCCAACCAACTGAGCCCCCTGCCAGGGCTGTACAAAAATTTGTTAATGCTTCCCCTCTGTCATATATCCTGCCACTGTGCAGATTTTTATAATTTGGATGTTTTATAACTTTTTTCTTAGTTGTGTGTTTGAATCAGGATCCCAGTAAAGTTTATACAGTGCAACTGCTGATGCTGTGATAAATCTCATATAACCCATAGCTTTCTCTTCCATCTCCTAAAATGTTTTTTCCCTTTGGATCTATGATTTTGGGAGAATCTAGATAGTTTGTCTTCAAGTGTACTTCAGAGTCCATATTTTGTGAGTTACTTTCCTATGGTATTTGGTATTTATTTTTGAGTAATGGTCAGTGTTTTCAAAACTGAGTCAAAATTGAATTAACTGATAAATATTTTTTAAGTGAATCAAATTATAATTGATAGCCATCCCTTCCATTGCAGAAATTGAAGACTTATTATTTAAAATAGCTCTTTAGTCTATTTATTGTTTTTAATTTTGCTAACTTTTAAGTTGTTATAAGAATATTGTTGTCTTATTTGACATGGATTTATCTTACCTAGGAGCCAGCATCTGCATTAGCAACAGAAGATGCATCCCTAGAAGGGTCATCATTAGCTGAAAGTTTGAGAGCTGCAGCAGAAGCTGCTGTATCACAGACGGGGTTTAGTTATGATGAGAATACTGGACTGTATTTTGACCACAGCACTGGTTTCTATTATGATTCTGTAAGTATCTCAGACCTTTCAGTATTGTAACTGTATACTTAGATGCTTGGTACCAAATATTAAACCCTAAACTGAACTAAGGAAAGCAAGAAGCTGCACTTAAAAATTATGTTTGATTCAAAGGTATTTGATAAGAGTAAAGAATTACAAAATAGTTTACCATATTATATTTTTAGGTTTATAATTAAGCTAATTGTGATTATTATAAATTGGTATAAATATAAAGGAATGTACAAAAAATTTGGAGTACTAATAAAGGCAGACAACTACATTATTGGAAAAATTTAAGAACCTACACTAACATTTTTTAATAGAATTTATAAGGAAGTGACATTGTTAATTCTAGGCGTGAGGTGAGATTTTTTGTTTGTTTGTTTCAAATACTTATGAACCATTTGAGGCCACAGTGGGGAGGGGGGGTATGTTTTTTGCTTGAATTATCATTAGCATGTTTATTATTAGTGCTTTATATTTTGTGGATTTTAAGCATTTCACTTTTATAAAATTAATCTGTTAATAGTTAGAACTAGGAAAGCAGTGTGGGATCAGATATATAATGGGCCGCTGACTAGGACAGAACTAGAAAATTAAATTCTTGATTTATAATACAGTGTGATGGATGTTGAAGTTTTGTACTTAATTGGGCTTTTAATAAAGACTTGACGTCAGCGATAATGAAACTCACATACCCACATATCTCAACCTTGATGGTCTAGGCATGTGATCTGATCCTCAGGAATTATAGAATTTAGTGCCACAAAGTGGACCAGGTATTCACTATTTCAGTTCTAGAAGTATTGTTAACTAACCTAGGGAACATAATGATAATGCTAAATATCTTAGATAGGGATTTCATTAGCTTGTTAGTTTGCACTTAGTATAGAGACTTTGTAAATCCTTTGTATTAGAGAGGGTTTTCTTTCACTGGAGTGTGCTTATAGATAATGCTAGTTGATATCTAGAAAACTAATATTTAAATGCTTATTACTAAAGGAAGTAAGTTATTTCTTGGTTTCTAGGAAAATATAGAGTTTCTGAGTATATGACATTCTTCTTTGTCATTCTTTTACCTAACTTTCTGTATCTTTCCTGCACACATTCTGTAAATGGTTATTTACATTCTGCAGGTTATATGTCTCAGTAAAATAGGGACTTGTTGTTTTGCCACTTTTATTGTGCTAATTTTCATCTTATTTTAATTAAAAATTTAAAAATGTCTTTGAAAATGCCTATATTTTGGACTGAAGGACATAACAGATTAAAAGGTTTGAGTTTTAAATATTCTGTTATCGTAATATGCTAATTAGACTGGGTCGACTGGACATCTTCCCGACATCCGACTTCCTTCCAGACAAAGCCATGGTGGCAGGGGCCGGGCAGAGGTGGTTAGGGGCGATCAGGTGGCAGGGAGGAAGCAGTTAGGGGCAAGATCAGAACGGTATGGGGGAGTAAGCAGTTAGGGGATGATCAGGCCAGCAGGGGAAGGCAGTTGGGGGTGATCAGGCCAGCAGGGGAGTGTTTAGGGTGCGATCAGGTCGGCAGGCAGAGGTGGTTAGGGGTGATCAGGCAGGCAGGCAGGTGAGTGGTTAGGAGCCAGCATCCCAGATTGTGGGATCAGGCCTAAACTGGCAGTCGGACATCCCCTGAGGGGTCCTACATTGGAGAGGGCATGTCAGGCTGAGGGACACCTCCCTAACCTGTGCACGAATTTTATGCATTGGGCCTCTAGTTAGAGACAGGTTTAGAGCACATACATTCAGAAATCTGCAAAATGGACTAAAGATAATAAATTGCAATAGTATCAACAGAAAAATAAACTTTTTAAAGAAGTTTTAGTTTAATCTCAGTATGTCACAAGAGGTCTGATCTGCATGGATTTCTGATGAAAAGAAAATACAGACTTTTAATTAAATCTTTTTAAAAAAATGTGTTTTATTGATTTTTTACAGAGAGGAAGAGAGTGGGATAGAGAGTTAGAAACATCGATGAGAATCATTGATCCCCTGCCTCTTGCACACCCCTACTGGGGATGTGCCTGCAACCAAGGTACATGCCTTTGATGGGAATCAAACCTGGGGCCTTTCAGTCTGCAGGCCGATGCTCTATCCACTGAGCCAAACCGGTTTTGGCTAATTAAATCTTGATTATAGAGTACTGGCCAATATCTAACAAATACAGATGATTGCATAATTTTTATCTTTTTGGTTTTTATCCATAATTTTCCAAAATTTATTTTTGTGTGGCTGCTTTACTTTTAAATCTTTAGCTACTTACAGTAGAATTAATTAAGTAAAGATGATTTTTTAATCAATTTCTTTGTGTAGAAAGTTATGGACTTAACTTTATTTCCAAATTTTTCTACAGGACTTTTAGTCATGAACATCAAAAGGCAAATCTTTGTTTTATGACATTGAGAAAAGGGATCAGGGTTTTATATTTCCAAACCATTATTGTGTAATATTAAGGGTAACGAGTCTGTAATTGCTTCCATGTGCTCAGCTTTTTCTGGTGCATGCCTTAGTTTTCATCACTCCTAAAAGGGTTCTTGTTATAATTTTTATAATTAATTTCAAAATAACCATATGAAATTGCTATTTCTGTAAGTTAAAAAGGTGAAATGTTGGTAATTTCATGATTCAATTTAATATTTAAATGTTCACATTTTTTCACCCTAGGAAAATTAGAGCAGATATTGAATGGTAAAGTATTTTGAAAATTTACATATATTTGAAAACACGAATATTTTGGACTGAAGTACATAACAGATTTTTCTTTAAAAAAGTTTTTATGTGTTTTAGAGCAAGTGTGTGTGTGTGTGTTTGGGAGAGAGAGAAAGAAAGAGAGAGAGTGAGATCAATGGGAGAGAAACTGATTGGCTGCCTCCTGCATGCCCCTTACTGGGGATTGAGCCCACAATCCAGGCATGTGCCCTGACCTGGAATAGAACCAGTGACCTCTCGCTGCATGGGATGATGCTCAACCAACTGAACCACTCCTGTCAGGGCCAACCATTTTTCATTGTGATATTTTTATTTACTATCTTCAGAAAATACTGTAGTTCTTAAAAGAAACTTTACTATGTGTGAATATGTTTGACATCTCTGTTGTTTACTTTTCTACTTTATCTTAAATAGTACTTATTTTTTTATTTTAAAAGGAAAATCAACTATATTATGATCCTTCCACTGGAATTTATTACTACTGTGATGTGGAAAGTGGTCGATATCAATTTCATTCTCGAGTAGATTTGCAACCTTATCAGACTTCTAGCACAAAACAAAATAAAGATAAAAAGTTGAAGAAGAAAAGAAAGGATCCAGATTCTACAACAAATGAGGAAAAGGTATTATCTTCCTAATTTTTAAAATTTACATAATGGTAACATAGTTAAGTCAAAATTTTTGATGAAACTGAAAATCATTCAGTAACTACATTTCAAACATACCCATTAAAGTAGCAAGGTATCAGAATCTGTTAATCACAGAGCATTTGTCTATATTGGTCTGTTTCACAAATTCTCAGTCACTAGAAGTCAAGTCTAAAGGAGGTATATTTAAAAATCTAAAGGAGGTATATTTAGGGCAGATAAGATACTCTTAAGTTACATAATTTGGAAGAACTTTCAGACCCTTAGTTGATAAGTTGATGTCAGTGCACAATTCACAATAAAACACAAAAAAAGTTTATAAGTAAATATATATAAAAATTCTTTCTTAGTCACTTTGAGCAATTTTTTACCCATATTATGTTAGCAAACATTAAAAAAAATCAATTTCTGGCATATATAGAGTAGATATATTTTCATAAGTAGTGTAAATTGGTATCTTTTGGAGAATAAATTGGCTGTTTGTATCAATAACTGTAAAAATGTTGATAGTTTTCAATTAGAAAATCTCATTTCTGGTAATTTATTATCTATATACCGGTATATGAAAGCCTAAGTGACCAGTCAACTGGCTGGTAGCTATGATGCGCACTGACCACTAGGGGGCAGATGCTCAACGCAGGCGCAGAAACCATAGGCATGGAAACATGAAACAGATGGATAAATCTCAAGGGAAAGAGGGAGAAGAGAGGATGGGGAGAGATAAACCAAAGATCTTACATGCATACTTGAGGCTCAGTGCATGAATGCACCTGAGGAGTCCCTTGGCCTACCTCTGCCCTCTCGTAATCTGCAATCTGGACCCCTCAGGGGATGCCCTTTAAGCCCCTGTGCCACCCCATGTGCTGCTTGCTGGGGAGGTTGGCTCCAGGGCGTGTTCAGCCCATCTCACAGTCCAGCCCCACTGGCCACCTCCTTTCAATGTGCACGAATCCGTGCATCAGGCCTCTAGTTATTTTATAAATCCAAAGAAAGAGAAATGCTTTTGTTTAATTATATAGCAATATTTATAAGAACAAAGAAAAGTTAATAGTTCAAATGATCCAAAATATATTGTTTAAGAAAATGATAATACATTTAATTGGAAAAGCATTACTTATGACTAAGAATGGTAGTTGTAAAGAGTGAGAGGAATTTTTAAAATAGTTACAATACATTAAATTGAAAAAAGGAAAATAACAAAAAAAGTTACTAATGCTCTTATTTCTGCTCACTTCACAGATAAGGTTGATGATTTATAGTCAGGAAAGGAGGCTAATTGTGAATTCTGGCAACTACTTGATACTTTACTCTTAAGATATTATCTCATGTTTTCTTAACCATGGGGAAACATTTTTAAATATATAATACCAAAGTTCAAAGATGAAATTGGTATTTTGTTGAATTTATTTTCTGTTCTTTGTTTGATTTGTTTTTATTTCTCTACTGTTTTCACTAAGAGTACATAAAAATAGAAGAATGTGTGACTAAAATACTAAAAATGATTTTTCGCTTTGCTTTCAAGAACTATGTTTTAATCACTCCTACTTGTTACTAGTGGTTGAACCGTATGAGAAGATAGGTTGTAAAATTAATTCTGCCTAGCAATAAGAAATGAACATACACCTATCATCAAATGGTCTTTCCTGACAAACTAGAGAATGACATTTGAAAGCATTCAGTGAGATTTTGGTTTAGTTTAACTCCCATACTGCTTATCTATGTTTTTATTTTATTTATCTCTGTTTTTATTTTGTTTTTTAATCCTCACCCTAGGACATGCTGACAGAGAGAGAGAAAGAGAGAAAGAAAGAAAAACAGAGAGAAACATTTATTGACTGCCTTTTATAGGCGCCCCAACCGAGAATTGAACCGCAACTCTTGGGTGCACAGGGTGATGCTCAACCAACTGAGCCACTCTGGCTGGGACCATAACTGTACTTTTTTAAATTTAATTTTATTTTTTTATCCTTTGAAAATATGTGAACTCCAGGACAAGGACTTAGGAAAAACTCCTGATGAAATTTTGAGAATTGCTTGAGAATTCTAAAAAGTAATTGTGAAGCATGGGAGACCAGTTAAGACATCCTTTCCTTTTCTTTATTTTTTAAGGACTCTTGAGCCTCATTCTTTGTAGATGGAGGGTATGTGGAAAGAAGAGATTAGAGTGAGGTGATTGGAGTAATTAACTTGAAATATGCATTTATACCTCAATGCCCAAATGTAGGCTCCCTTATCTCTTAATGTTTAACATTCTGGCAAATAATTTTTTAAAAGTAGCACCTGGCAATTTCACTCATTTTCCCCTTGCATATGTTGTCCTATAAGCAGTAATAATAAAATACACAAGACTGGAAATGGCTTTTTAAAAAGAATATTTAGATGGGAAAATTTTTTGTTATAATTCATAATGGCCTTTAAAACTCATAGTTGTTCAGTTCCTTGCCCTTGTTCTTGTTCTTTGAGAGTTTGAAGCACTGGAAGTGTATATAGTTTATTACACTGTGAGTATTGAGCCAGTCTCCAAATTGAATTTATGCTGCTGTTAAAATATGTGTTTAAGATGCTCTCATATTTTATAAAATAACAGAAGAACATATGAATTCACTTCGTCATGTGGCTATAAGGTAGAACGAAAATTCATTGTGTTATAAACCAAAGAAACAAGGGGAAAATAACAATTTGCTTTTTCAATGGTTAAAAGAATAGATTTGTTCATTTATCAAAAGGCATGCCCAATATAATTGTATAATATAATAATAAATAATAGGCTGATGCCAGGTAATTTGAATTTTGGAATAAAAGAGATATAACTGATTAATCTGTACATTTAGCTATTGTGTATTTTCAAATCAACTCTATAAAGTGCTAATTTTTTTTTAAAAAAAGTATGCTTTTATTGATTTTTAGAGAAGAAGGGAGAGGGATAGAGAGATAGAAATATTGATAGAAATATCCATTGATCCACCCCCTACTGGAATTGGCCTGCAACCGTCCTGACTGGGAATCTCCTGGTAACTAACTGGTGATCTCTTGGTTCTTGGGTTAATACTCAACCACTGAGCCACCCTGGCTGGGCTATCAAGTGCTAACTTTTAACTACTTTTCTGTTACATGAGATACATTTGGATTTTTAAATCCCTGCTGTAATGAAAGCCAACTTTGTATGTAACTTGATAATTGGTTAAAAGTTCAAAGAAAATTTAGAGTAGATGTATTCTTCAGGCCTTCACTGTCCAGTAAGGTAGCCACTAGCTACATGTGGCCACCGAGCACTGGAAGTATAGCTGGTAAGTATAAACTACATTCAGTTTTGAAAAGAGTGTTAAAAATTTCATGCAAAATATTTCATTGGTAGTTTTTATACTGATTAAATATTAATATGTATTAAATGATAACATTCTGTAAAATAGGTTATATAAAATATTAAAATGAATTTTACTTGCTTTTTACCTTTTTTATTGTTTTTAGAAGAAAATTTTTTCCTTTTTTAAAATTCTTGTTCTTTTTTTCTCTTTGTTTATTTTACAAGCTTTTTACCTTTTTAATGTGGCTATTAGAGAATTTTAATTATAAATATGGCTTTCATTATTTTTTTTGTTGGGACAACATTGATCTAGATCAGTGGATGGCAAACTCATTAGTCAACAGAGCCAAATATCAGCAGTACAACGATGGAAATTTCTTTTGAGAGCCAATTAAAAAAAATATATTTTATTGATTTTTTACAGAGAGGAAGAGAGAGGGAGAGAAAGTTAGAAACATCGATGAGAGAGAAACATCAATCAGTTGCCTCCTGCACACACCCCACTAGGGATGTGCCTGCAACCAAGGTACATGCCCTTGACCAGAATCAAACCTAGGACCCTTCAGTCCGCAGGCCGATGCTCTATCCACTAAGCCAAACCGGTTTCAGTGAGAGCCAATTTTTTTAAACTTAAACTTCTTCTAATGCTACTTGTTCAAAATAGACTTACCCTGGCATTTTATGGAAGAGCCACACTCAAGGGGCCAAAGAGCCGCATGTGGCCTCATGAGCTGCAGTTTGCCAACCATGGATCTAGACTCTCACTTGGTCCAAGTAATATGTGACAGTTTGTTGAAAATAGATAAGAAGAGAGAATTGGAAAAAAATTGTTAGCATAGTCTGTATCACTTGATAATTGATTTCATGTGGTGGTTAAAGGGATGTCAAAGATAACTATAAGATTTTTTATTTGAATGCTAAGTGGATAGTAATATGTTTATTAAGGGAATATGAGCAGAAGAGGGGGTACAGGTAATAGCTATTGTTATCTCACTGTACATATATCTTCACTAATTCATTGTTACATTTAGCATTATAAGATGGTCATGTTTAAGATTATCTTCTCCATCCACCATTTTCCAGGATTTGAATTCAGAAGACCAAAAAGCATCCAGTGTTGAACATATAAACTGCAGTGAGGGAGAAGATTGTGCAAATGTGAAAAAGAAAGCCAAAATAGACATTCCTTACAAAAATAGTTCCCATGAATTCACTGTTCCAATTATCGGAAAGACTATAGAATCTCCTCTTAATGAAAACATCTATAATTCAACCTCATTTAAAGATGAGAAAGTCATAGAGACTGAAAGCGAGCCAGAAGAAGGTGAAATTACAGACTCTCAGACTGAGGACAGTTATGACGAAGACACTACCAGTGAAGACAGTGTAACTTCAGAAGATACTGAGGATGAAGGTGAGTAACCATTATTTAATTTTACACAAATAACTCAGTCTGGTCATTGTAAACATAGTAACACTGTTAAAAATGTTAGTATAATATATCTGCCCAAAATTAAACATTGTTTTAAATTGATTATTTTCATGACATTATTAAAAATTTTTTGGGCTACCATTGCTTATTCTTAGTGAGAGAATGTAAATAAATGACTAATACTTGGACCTTAAGTTTCATTGCACTGAATGGCCTCATCTATAGAACACAAAACCAAGTTATCTATGCCCTAATCCGAAAGTATGTATTAAGTCTGTTTTAGTGGCTTAGAAATTTATAGCACACTTTTATAATTGAGAAGGGGGAGAGCAAATTGCCTTTAAAAAGTATAGTCCTTGAATTCAACTATATAGGTATTAAGATAAATCTAATAATATTTTTACTTGAGGATATGAAGATAAACTTTTTAAATCCAGGATTTCATATTAGGGTATATGAGTTTATTTTGTTTTTAATGGAATTACTTATATATTTTTTAAAAGGGTAGGTTTAGTTTTTCTAACTTAATATAAAAATGCTAGTCTGTGACATTTTTAAATTCCAGGACCTTAAAAATGATATATGCTGACTTTGCTAAATGCCTTTAGTTTGATCACTTTAGATGGGTAACAGTGTCATATACTTTTGATTAATAAATTTTTATTTTATGGATGCCTCCTATCTCTAGACATGTCTAACTTTTTTTTTTTTTTTCATAGCATTTGGTTAATATTTACTCACTTGTTTCTTTGGCAGATGAGGAAAAAATTTGGCCCCCTTGTATTAGAGTAATTGTTATTAGATCACCAGTGTTGCAGACAGGATCACTTTTTATAATTACAGCTGTAAACCCTGCTACCATTGGAAGGTAAAATGTTTAATATTATTATATTTGTCTTATTTTATTGGATTGTACATTTCTCAAACAGTTATCATGAAATCTGCATGGTACTTGTTACTTGAGAACTTGTGCATGGTACCCAAGAAATATTACTGGCACTTACTGTATTTTCCGGCGTATAAGACGACCCCCTAATTTTACAGTTAAAAAATAGGTTTAGGCCTATATTCGCTGTATAAGACTACCCCCCACTTCCGAGGCAACACCAGTTCTTTTTTTAATAGACTGCCTCTCTAACTCAGCCAATCCAAGCAGGCTTTTTATGCATGCAAATTATACATGTTCTGTACCCGAAGCTACACTGTGTTCTAGTAAAAAGCCTATTGTCACTTGGGTTTGGAAATCAGATGAGGGTATGACTTCATAGTCCTGAAAGTGGACTGCCTATATAAAGAGATAAAATCTCATTGATACCTTTCACAAAGATTTTTGTCAGTTTTCTTACCTTCTACACTGCCTTTTAAAGGTTTAAATTACTTACTACACCCAGTTTTGGCCTCCTCTGCTTCTTTGCCCCTTTGTACCTCATAATCAGCTTGCTAGAGAGGTAGATTTTAATCAGAATAAGATAATTGCCTTTCTAACTGAAAAAATAGTCTATCCTTAATTAAAATTCTATGCAATGCCTTAATTTTAAATTCTTAGAAACTAGTACATGCCTTTTATATGTAGTAATAGAAATGGAAACATAGTCAAGTCAACAGATCTGAAATAAGTAATTGACATTAGTATGAAGGATATTTTGTCTCTCTGAATGTTTATTAGCCTGGATATATGGACCAAAAATAAAATTCTGGAACCTTTCAAGTAGGAAATTTACAGTATGATTAAGGAAACTGGTCTTAGTGTGATAGAGACACTTGCATTTTAGCATACATTTTGTTTGTTTGTTTACAGTATTACATATGTCTCCTTTTTCCCCTATTGACATCTCACCCCGGCCACTCCCACCCCCAGGGGCAAGCCCCTACTACCCCAGTGCCTGTGTCCTTTGGTTATGCTAATATGCACGTATATTAGTCCTTTGGTTAATCTCTAGCCCCTCTCCCCCTGCCCCTTGTCTCTGGATTTATTTTTGTTCATCAGTTTATGTTGTTCATTATATCTCACATATAAGTGAGATCATATATTTATCTACTCCGACTGGCTTATTTCACTTAGCATAATGCTCTCCAGGCCCATCCATGCTGTTGCAAATGGTAAAAGTTCCTCCTTTTTTTAAAGCAGCATAGTGTTCCATTGTGTAGATGTACCACAGTATTTTAATCCACTCATCTGTTGATGGGCACTTGGGCTGTTTCCATATCTTAGCTATTGTAAATTGTGCTGCTATGAACAGAGAGGTGCATATATCCTTTCTGATTGGTGTTTCTGGTTTCTTGGGAAATAGTCCTAGAAGTGGGATTACTGGGTCAAATGCAAGTTAAGGAAACTCCATACCGTTCTCCACAGTGGCTGCACTAGTCTGCATTCCCACCAGCAGTGCATGAGGGTTCCTTTTTTTCCACATCCTTGCCAGCACTTGTCTTTTGTTGATTTGTTGATGTTAGCCATTCTGACAGGTGTGAGATGGTACCTCATGGTTGTTTTGATTTGTATCTCTCATATGATTAGTGACTTTGAGCATGTTTTCTTTTTCTTTTTTTAAACTGTTCTATTTTTTTTTTAAGCTGTTTTATTAAAAAAAAAAAAAGTATGTTATTTTTTTACAGAGAGGAAGAGAAAGGGATAGAGAGCTAGAAATACCAATGAGAGAGAATCATCGATCAGCTGCCTCTTGCACACCCCCATTGGGGATGTGCCCGCAACCAAGGTACATGCCCTTGACCGGAATCGAACTTGGGAACTTTCAGTCCGCAGGCCGACGCTCTATCCACTGAGCCAAACCGGTTTCGGCGAGCATGTTTTCATATGGCTCTCAGCCTTCTGTATGTCCTCTTTTGAAAAGTGTCTATTTAGGTCCTTTGTCCATTTTTTGATTGGATTGTTTATCTTTCTTTTGTTAAGTTGTATGAGTTTTCTGTAAATTTTGGAGATTAAACCCTTATCTGAAATAGCATTGGCAAATATGTTCTTCTATGCACTGGGCTTTCTTGTTGTTTTGTTGATGGTTTTTTTTGCTGTGCAGAAGTTAATATATCTTTTTTTAAGCATTACCTTTTAAAACAATATTTAACAAAAAATTCTTTTCGTGTTTCTAAGTGCTGCATTTATATTTGCTTCAATAATTATTAAAGACATGTTTCTTAACTGTGCAGAGAAAAAGATATGGAGCATACTCTTCGAATCCCTGAAGTTGGTGTCAGTAAGGTAAGCTCTTTGGTTTTACAAATATAGCACCTTGATATAATTTTATAAGTCATCATTATAGCAGAAAGCTTAGAGTTTTTCCCATTTAATAGAAAGTTTAATAGTCAGTGTAGTAATGCTAATGAAAGTAATACAGATTTGTTTGTTCCACTGCTTGAGAAAATAAAAATTACCACAATTTTAATGTACTAAATTATGTTTCATTTTTAAAAATCTGGAGCAAGAGTAGAAAAAATGTGGATTAATTTAGGTACATGAAGTAATACCCATTTAATAGGTATTTATTGAGTGAAATAAATATGCTAGCTATTATGACAGTTCAAAAATGAACCAGACCTCGATTCAGACTACTTTTAGTTGATGGTTACTTAGCGTCCAGAGTATTTTATAACCCTAGAACAATCTATTCTCTCTTAGTTGAGCCTCTAAATGGTTTCTTTCAGGAAAAATAACAGTTGAGTTTTCAAAACAAATAGTAAGGACAGAGTTACAACTTACCAAGTATAAAGCAAAAAGGTCTAGCTTCTGAGAGTCTGTACTTCATATTTATCTTTTTTGTTCTGTATTTTCTATTGTTTTTCTTCCTCCCTTCTATGGCTATAATCTTTCCCCCCTTTTTTGTTTTTCTTTTTTTGACCTTTGATCATCCCCATTTTGTTTGTATTTAATGGGATTATAATATGGATCTAAAGTATATGTTTTATATGATTTTTGTTTTTTTAAAATAAAACTTCTCACTATTACTTTGAAAGTGTAGTTATTTTTACTGTTTTTAGACTCATTCAGAGAGGAGTAAATTTTCATAATCTTAACTCTGACCAAATTATCTAGCTTTTAAAAATTTTTATTTTATTTTTGCAACATTTTTTATTGTTTAAAGTATTACTTATAGTAGTATATATATCTCCTTTTGTTCCCCTCATTGATCTTCCCCCAGCTTCCCCTACCCCCTGTCGCATGCCCTCAAACCCCCTCGTGCTTATTGGTTGTGCTTATATGCATGCATACAAGTCCTTTGGTTGATCTCTCCCTCCACTCCTCCCCAACACTTCCCAGCCTTCCTGATATAATTTGACAGTCTCTTTGGTGCTTTCTGCCTCTGTACCTATCTTTTTGTTCATCAAGTTATAATGTTCTTTTTCCCCCCCATAAATTAGTGAGATCATGTGGTATTTTCCTTTCATTGCCTGGCTTATTTCACTTAACATAATGCCCTCTAGGTCCATCCATGCTGCTGCAAATGATAAGAATTCCTTCTTTTTTATAGCAGCATAGTTTTTCATTGTGTAGATGAAGTATAGTTTTCTAATCCACTCATCTGCTGATGGGCATTTAGTCTGTTTCCAAATCTTAGCTATGGTGAATTGTGCTGCTATGAACATAGGGGTGCATATGTCCTTTCTGATTGGTGTTTCTAGTTTCTTGGGATATATTCCTAGAAGTGGGATTACTGGGCCAAATGGGAGTTACATTTTTAGTTTTTAGAGGAAACTCCATACTGTCTTCCACAGTGGCTACAGCAGTCTGCATTCCCATCAGCAGTGCACGAGGGTTCCTTTTTCTCTGTATCCTCGCCAAAACTTGTCATTTGTTGATGTTAGCCATTCTGACAGGTGTGAGATGGTACCGCATTGTCGTTTGATTTGCATCTCTCGGATAATTAGTGACTTTGAGCATGCTTTCATATGTCTCTTGGCCTTCCTTCTGTCTTCTTTCAAAAAGATTCTATTTAGGCCGAAACTGGTTTGGCTCAGTGGTAGAGCATCAGTCTGTGTACTGAAAGGTCCCGGGTTCTATTCCAGTCAAGGGCATGTACCTTGGCTGTGGGCACATCCCCAGTAGTGGGTGTGCAAGAGGCAGCTGGTCGATGTTTCTCTCTCATCGACATTTCTGGCTCTCTCTCTCCCTTCCTCTCTGTAAAAAAATCAATAAAATATATTAAAAAAAAAAAAAAGATTCTATTTAGGTCCGTTGCCCATTTTTTTTTAATTGGATCATTTATCTTCCTTTTATTAAGTTGTATAAGTTCCCTGTGGATGTTGGAGATGGAACTTTTATCAGTGATAACATTTGCAAATATGTTCTCCCATACAGTGGGCTTTCTTGTTATTTTGTTGATGGTTTCTTTTGCTGTGCAAAAGCTTTTTATTTTGATGTAGTTCCATTTGTTTATTTTCTCTTTAGTTTCCATTGCCCTAGGAGCGATATCGGTGAAAAAATTGCTTTGGCATATGTCTGAGATTTCTCTGCCTGTGGATTCTTCTAGTATTTTTATGGTTTCCTGTCTTATATTTGAGTCCTTTATCCATTTTGAGTTAATTTTTGTGTATGGTGTAAGTTGGTGGTTTAGTTTCATTTTTTTGCATGTATCTGTCCAATTTTTCCAGCACCATTTATTGAAGAGACTATCTTAACTCCATTGTATGTTCATGCCTCCTTTGTCAAATATTAATTGAGCATAGTGGTTTGGTACTATATCTGGGTTCTCTATTCTATTCCATTGGTTTATCTATATGTCTGTTCTTGTGCCAGTACCAGGTTCTTTTGAGAACAGTGGCATTGTAATACAGCTTGAAATCTGGTATTGAGATCCCACCTACTTTGTTCTTTATCAGGATTGCTGTGGCTATTAGGGGTATTTTTTTTTTTTTAATTCCAGATGAGTTTTTAGAGAGTTCTTTCTAGGACTGTGAAATATGCTGATCGGGAGTTCAGCTGGCAGCCAGGAAAGGGAGGCCCCAGCTGGTAGCCAGAAGGTCCCTATCGGCCCTGATTGCCAGCCAGGCCTAGGGACCCTACCGTGCAAAGATTTCATGCACCGGGCCTCTAGTCCTATATAATAAAGAGGTGATATGCAAATTGACTGTCTTGCCCTCACAAGATGGCTGCCTGCAACCGGGCCACAGGGGGGTTAGTGAGGGATGACCAAATGACTAAATAGCAGGCTTCGTGGGGTGACCAGGTCAGCAGGGGGAGTTAGCGAGGGACGACCAAACGACTGAACAGCAGGCTGCATGGGGTGACCTGGCCAGTGGGTAGGCCGTGAGGGGCAACCAGGCTGGCAGGGGGGGCATTTGGGGGCGAACAGTCCAGTAGAGGGGGGCAGTTAGGGGCAACCAGGCTGGTGGGAGGGGGCAGTTGGGGATGACCAGGCTGGCAGGGGGGCAGTAAGAGTTGACCAGACCAGCAGGGGGGGCAGTTAGGGGTGACCAGGCAAGCAGACAGGTGAGTGATTAGGAGCCAGCGGTCCAGGATTATGAGAGGGATGTCCCAGATTGGAAGGGTGCAGGCTGGGCTGAAAGGATCCCCCCCCCCCCCATGCATGAGTTTTGTGCACCAGGCCTCTAGTAATAAACATCAGACTTCTGAAAAGGAAGTTTGGGGGATAGATGGAGTGAGGTATACATCAATGGATACTTTATTTTAAATATCTGAGGCAAATAATGGAAAAATTTATTAAAGCTGGGTCACAGGTAGATAAGTTAAATATATATTTTTGTGAGTTTGAAACATGTTTATGAAATATTTAAAGAATAACCTTATTGTCAGATACTTTATTCGTCATATACAATTTTCCCATTGGAAGTATATAATTCAGAGGTTTTTAGTGTATTCACAGAGTTCTGCAATCATCACATCAATTTCAGGACATTTTCATCACCAGCAAAAGAAACAAACTCAATAGTAGTCACTTATTTCTTTCCAACCTTAAGCAACCACTAGTTTTGTCTCTATGAATTTGCCTATTTTGTATATTTTATGTAAATTGAATTATATAACATGTAATCTTTTGTGACTAGCCTTTTTACTTAGCATGTCTTTAAGATCCATCCATGTTGTAGCATATGTCAGTCAGTACTTCATTTCTTTTTATTGCCAAATAGTATTCCATTGTATGGATATACTACATTGTGTTATTCATCAATTGATGAGCATTTGAATTATTTCTACCTTTTGACTATTAATCAGTTAACTGCCACGATATTTTGAATTTAATTAAAAAAGATCTGCTTGTGTCTATAGATTCTTATGGCATACAAATAGTTAAGAATAACGCTGCTATGAACATTCATGTACATGTATTTGTTTGGATGTATGCTTTTATTTTTCTTGATATATACCTAGAAATAGAATTGTTGGGTTGTATGATAACTCTGTTTAACTTCATTATTTTATTTTTTATTAAGGTATTATATGTGTACATATCTTTGCATTGCCCCCCTCCCCACGCCAATACATGTGTCTTCCCTCCTCCCCTCCCTCCCCCCGAGTTTTTCATCCATTGGTTTTGCTTATATGCATGCATATAAGTCCTTTGGTTGATCTCTTATCTCTCCCATATCTCCCTATCCTCCCCGCTGTAATTTGACAGTCTGTTTGTTGCTTTACTGTTTTTGTATCTATGTTTTTGTTCATCATTTTATAATGTTCTTTATTATCCATAAATGAATGAGGTCATATGATGTTTCTCTTTCATTGACTGGCTTATTTCACTCAACATGATGTTCTCCAATTCCATCCAGGTTGCTGCAAATTACAAGAATTCTTTCTTTTTTATGGCAGCATAGTATTCCATTGTGTAGATGTACCATAGTTTTCTGATTCAATCATCTGCTGATGGGCACCTAGGCTGTTTCCAAATCCTAGCTATTATAAATTGTGCTACTATGAACATAGGGGTGCATATTTCCTTTCTGATTGGTGTTTCTGGTTTCTTAGGATATATTCCTAGGAGTGGGATTACTGGGTCAAATGGGGGTTCCATTTTCGGTTTTTTGAGGAAACTCCATACTGTTCTCCACTGTTTAACTTTTTGAGGAACTGCCAGACTCCTCCAAAGCAGCTGTACCATTTTACATTTCTACCGTGTTGTATTGTATTATATATGAAATTTTAAATTAAATATTTCTGTAGCTCTTTATCCAATTAAAGAGACATGTATTAAATACATGTCCAGTATTCACATATATGAGACACTGAGAGGCAAGCAAAAATGTAAACTAATGTAAGCAGTAATTGTAAGGAGTACAATAACATTCACATCTATAATAATAAAAGTGTAATATGCTAACTAGACCGACAGCCAAACAACCTTCTTGATCTCATTCGGACATCCTTCCTGATGAAGCTGTGGTTGTGGGGGCCGAGGCAGAGGCGGTTAGGGGCAATCAGGCAGGCAGGCAGTCAGAGGTGGTTAGGGGCAATCAGGCAGGCAGGCAGTCAGAGGTGGTTAGGGGCAATCATACAGGCGAGTGGTTAGGAGCCAGTGGTCCCGGATTGTGAGAGGATGTCCGACTGCCAGTTCAGGCTCGATCTAGTTGGACATCCCCCGATGGGTCCTGGATTCCGAGAGGGTTGTGCAAGCTGGGCTGGGAGACACCCTCCTCAACCCCCCTGCACAAATTTAGTGCACTGGGTCTCTAGTATTCATATAACTTCATAAATATTAGATAAACAAAGTGCTGTGGAGCAAGGAGAGAGTAATTAGTTTTGAGATTTAAAAAAAATGGAAAACTTCTCTGAGAAGTTAACTTTGAATGTTTTAAATCACCTTTTGAATTAAGCATTTTTAATGATATAGACAAGTACTTATATTTGGTAAAAAGTAATTTCAAATTGTTTATATGGTATAGTGTAACTATATTATAGAAGTAGGAAAGGTAGGACACACTGAATTATTGATAGTTATAGATAGAATTATAGGTGGCTTTTTTTCTGGAGCCTTCACATTTCTATCAAAAGCATCATAATACTTTTGTATTCAGAAAAAGTATTAAAAATAATAAAAGTTAAGTTATCAGAGCCTAAACTCCATTGTGTCTTATCAAAGAGAAATTGTTATCTATGGTTTTTTTTTTTTAAAGTATACTACTTTATAATTATCTGTTGTTGTTTTTTTAAGTTTCATGCAGAAATTTATTTTGATCATGACTTACAAAGTTATGTCCTTGTGGATCAAGGCAGTCAAAATGGTACAGTTGTTAACGGAAAACAGATTCTTCAGGTGAGTATATATAAATTACTTGCACATTACTTTTAAAAATTGAACTGAAATGTTTTATTCCTGAAGGCCGTAGTTATTATACATATCATTTGGTTAGGTCAGTGTTCAAGTCCAAATGTGTTACATGGAAGGGAATTCCCAGAAAGGGCTGAAGAATTATAATAAGTTAATACTTGACTATTGAGTTTTGACTTCTAATTATGTACCTATGTCTTGATTTAAGAGATAAATGCATTTAAAAATATGTTTTTATTCAGAGAAGGGAGAGGGAGAGATAGATACATCAATGATAAGAGAAAAATCATCTCTCCCTGCCTCCTGCAAGCCCCCTACTGGGGATTGATTCCACAACTCCAGCATGTACTCTGATTTAGAATTGAACCTGACCTCATGGTTCATAGGTCGACGTTCAAACACTGAGCCACACTGGCTGGGCGAGTGAAATGTATTTTAAAGCTATTCAGACTAAATGTTTTTGAGCAGCTTTAGGGGTCCTTTTTTGTGTTTTTAAAATTTTATTTTAATGAAAATGTTGCTAAACTTTAAATTCCTTGAAGGTAGGGGCTATGTCTATTCAGTTAATTTCTATTTTCAACATGTAGCAAAGTGCTTGGCACTGGAAGGGAGCTGTATTCTTAGAAAATGAAATAAAATGAAATTGTCAAGAGGAAAAAGAATAATGATGCACTATCCCCTGAACACTTTGTCTTTTTTACTAGAATTAATTTGTTTTGGTACTAGATTGTTTAAAGTTTGAGTGGGTATTTCTCTGATAGGATTAGGCATGGAGATAGGAGGTTGTGATATTTGATAATATAAAAATCAGATGTTTCTCATTTCTATTATCTTCTCCACTAGTAGAAAATTATGGATCATCCTCAAGTTGTGGAAATATGTGTGCCTATCTTATTGAGAACTATCTAAAAAAAATTTAGATAGTTCTAAATGGAAGTAATCAGACATTACTTCCATTTGACATAAAATAATCATATATAACTCTTTTGGATTTCTGTTTTGTAATTTTTCCCCTCAGCCTAAAACTAAATGTGACCCTTATGTACTTGAGCATGGAGATGAAGTGAAAATTGGAGAGACTGTGTTGTCCTTTCACATTCACCCTGGCAGTGATACCTGTGATGGCTGTGAACCAGGGCAGGTTAGAGCTCACCTTCGTCTTGATAAGAAAGATGAATCTTTTGGTATGTGAAATTCTTTTTAATGTGTATGATAACTTCTAAATTCACTGGAGTGTGCTAAAAATGTATCACTTGGCTACCAGCTTCATATCTTGATGTAATACTGTATTGAGAGAATTTATATATATTACTGATTTTAAAGAGAGGAATGGAGAAAAGGAGGAAGGGAGATGGGGAAGGAGGGAGGAGAAAGAGAAACATCAGTGAGAGAGAAACATCCATTGGTTGCCTCCCAAGCTCTCCCTGACTGGTGATTGAACCTGCCATCTTTTGGTACAGGACAACGTTCAGTCAACTGAGCCATACTGGCTAGGGCGAGATAATTTATATTTCAATAAATATTTTTAACATTTATTTACTGATATGAAAAAGTCATCCACAGTTAACTTCTGTCATATAATAGTAACATCTGTAATAATAAAAGTGTAGTATGTTAATGAGACTGGACCTTTTTCCTTCCAGACAAAGCCACAGCAGGTGAGGACAGAGGCAGAGGTGGCAGAGGCCCCTGAACGTGGTGGAGATGGGTGGGGGGTCAGGGCCAAGGCCCTTGCATGAATTGTGTGCATCGGGCCTGTAGTAGAAAATAATAGGCCAAGATATTAAGAGTTATTGGTTTATATGCTTTCCTACTATAGTTTATGTTGATGTATCATTTAAGTATATACCATGATTTTCTGTAGAAAGTAACACTGTAGGAAGTTGCTATTTTGCTTTAAACTCACTCACCTAAGGCTTTTAAAATTTAAATAGATACCTTGAACTAGTAAGAACTATTTTTTTTTTCACATCAGTTTCCCCCCTAAATATCAACTTTACATGGTCATTGTATATTTTTTATTTTCTGATGCTAGATAATGAAAATAAGTATGACACTTTACAAAGTATTATGAATCTTGGGTTCTGTGGTTTTTCTTTTGCACATGCCTGTGTTTCTTTGGAAAAGTCACAGTATTTGAGAATCTTAGTGTTTGGTGTTTCTTTTATCTGTACTATTACATTCCTGTAATCTTTAGGTTTTGGTTTACTTTCCAAGTAGATTTAATTACCAAAATGCTGAAAGGACATCATCACAATTCTATATTCCTTTATATTAATGTTTATTTGCACTTTTGATTAATTTATAGATGGAATGAGAATATTATTAGTTTTTAATTATTAAATGAGTATTAATTTTATATAAAATCTATCTTTAGTGAGTTTTTATTTTTAAATCAGACTCACTTTTTCCTTTTAGTTGGTCCAACACTAAGCAAGGAAGAGAAAGAGATGGAAAGGAGAAAAGAGTTAAAGAAAATACGAGTAAAATATGGTTTACGGGTAAGGATGTTAAGTATTATTACATGTATTCAAAATTGTATACCTGGTTTTGAATAAAAATGCTTTTAGATATGCAGGTCCACTTTAATATATATAAAATAGTTATTTAGAATGATTTTGAGGTTTATATAATTTCATTTAGTTGTTTACTGTTACCTTAACAACTGTTGAGATTGAAGTAGAAAAATGGTAATAGTACCCTAATTTTTTATTTATTTAATTTTTTATTGTTTAAAGTATTATATATGTCTCCATTTTCTTCCATATATTTTGATAGCCATTTCTGGTTTTAAAAAACTTGCATTCAATGTTACCATGGAAGAACATAGTTGAAGGACTAATGCTGCCTGATTTAAAGACTTGTTATAAATTACAGTAATACAGTATAGTATTGGCATATGTATATCTAGAATACATAATGAACTCTCAAAAATCAGTAAAAACAAGCCAATTAAAAAATGAGCAAAAGATTTGAATAGACACTTCCAGCTGATATTACAGATGTCAAATAAACACATGAAAAGATGTTCGGTATCAGTAGACATTAGGAAATGCAAAGTAAAACCAGTTAAAAAGATTGACCATAACAAGTGTTAATGGGCATGTAGAGGAACTGGAACTCATGACTCATTTATCCAAGAGAAATGAAAGCATATGCTCATATAAAAACTAGTAAACAAATGTTCATAGCAGCAATTTTTCTAATAGCCCAAACTGGAAAAAAATGTATGTGTTCATCATGAATGGATAAATAAACTCTGGTATATATCTCTGTGGTCAAATACTATTTAGCAATAAAAGATCATGAGCTATTGATATTGACTAGAATATGGATGAACCTCAATTGTGCTGAGTGAAAGAAGCCAGACAAGAATACATAGTATATACTTCTATTTATATAAAATTCTAGGAAAACAAACTTACATGTGACAGAAAGATTGCCTGATTGCCTGAATACAGGAGAAGAAGGATGCACAAGGAGGATATGAGGGATAGATTGCAAAAAAGGACAAGGACACTTCTATGGGAGATGGATTTGTTTATTGATTGGGGTGATGGTTTTATAGGTATATACACATCTCCAAAGTGTCTAATTGTATACTTTATGTGTAATTTATTGTATGTTAACATACCTCAATAAGACTGTAAAAAGTATTGCCATTTAATCCTGTAAGTAAACCAGGAACGTGATTAATATTTTCAGTTTACATTTGAGAAATTAAAGCTAAGGGTTACTAAGTGATAGAGCTAGGTGTAGAATCAAGGTCTAAATTAGTGTATTTGTCCAATACTTTTTACACTTCATGAAGATGTGGGAAAGATGCTCCAAAATAATATATTTACTGCAAAGTTATATTTTTGTTGTTACTTTGGTATTAGGGAGAGAAATCACAATAGGAAAAAAAAATGTCAAGGGACTTATATGGGAGTAAAATAAAAAATATATAACTAGGGAACAAAATGTCTTCTCAAAAATTATAGCTTGCCATAGCCATTTGGCTTAGTGGATAGAGTGTCAGCCTGTGGACTGAAGGATCCTGGGTTTGATTCCAGTCAAGGGCATCTACTTTGGTTGCAACCTTCTCCCCGGCCTGGGACCTGATCGGGGCTCATTCAGGAGGCAACCAGTCAATGTGTTTCTCTCGCATTGAGGCAACCAATCAATGTGTTTCTCTCCTGGACTGCAAGAGGGCACAGGCCAGGCTGGGGACACTCCCCACCGGGCACGAATTTTTGTGCATTGGGCCTCTAGTAAATATATAAATTGTTAACTTAATTTCTAAATCATCTTTAGGAAAAAACAAACAAACATTGAGATCAGTGGTTGTTTTGCTTCTCTTATTACAAGCAAAATTAGGTAGTAAAAACTTCTCTGGTATTTTCCTTGAATTGCTCTAGCAGCCCCTAGCAACTCTGTGGATGAATATCAGACTTTTTACATAAAGATCAACAAATAACCCTAACCAGTTTGGCTCAGTGGATAGAGCGTCAGCCTTGGGACTCAAGGGTCCCAGGTTTGATTCCAGTCAAGAGCATATACCTTGGTTGCTGGCACATCCCCAGTGGGGAGTGTGCAGGAGGCAGCTGATCAGTGATTCTCTCTCATCACTGATGTTTCTATCTCTCTCTCCCTCTCCTTTCCTATCTCTGAAATCAATAATAAAAAAATTTTTTTTAAAGAATACAGAGTATATTAAGATCCATGTTTAACATATTTTTTCCTCATAATTCAGATATGATTAATATTCTATATACAATTTGTGTTTTAGTACAACTTCAAATAATATAAACATTTTAACGGGGATGGAATAAAAATAGCATATTCAATAACATAATTGTCTTCATTTATATCATGGCTTGTTTTAATTAATTGTTTAATAGAGACCACATTGAACAATATCGCTAATAAGGCAGATATACAGACTTTACATTTTTATATATTTGTTTTTTTCATTGAGTATTTTGTATTTATAAAGAATACAGACTATGAAGATGAAAAGGCATTGAAGAATCCAAAATATAAAGATAGAGCAGGAAAACGTAGGAAGCAGATTGGCAGTGAAGGAACTTTCCAAAGAGATGATGCTCCTGCATCTGTTCATTCGTAAGTATTAACTTTTCCAAAGTAGTTTCCAAAGTAGTTGTACTAATTGTTTTTAATTTATTCATTTATTATAAATGTGACCTAAGTGGTCTTTTAGAATTCAATTATCATCTTAATTTTTTTTAAAGTGAAATTACTGATAGCAACAAAGGCCGGAAGATGTTGGAAAAGATGGGTTGGAAAAAAGGAGAGGGCCTGGGGAAGGACGGCGGAGGAATGAAAACTCCGGTAAGACTTGGGTTTGCTTTCACTCTTTATTCTTCAGCAGGTATGCTTACTGTGCACCTAATCTGTGCCGGGCATTGCCTTGAGAGCTAGTAGTATAGTAGCAGGCAAAAGCAGACGTGATTACTGTCTCAATGGCATTCATGATTACCAAATATATATATATATATATATATATATATATATATATATATGCGCATTGTTTTATTTTTAATATTTTCAGGAAGCCTCTTAAGAGTTTTTCCTTCAGTGGAGCTAGGATAGTAAACGTTATTTCCTGAGCCAAAGATTTTTTGTATCTTCTAGGTGTTTTTAATGATTTCCCGGCACTAAGCATTTACAGGAGCAGTTACAATGTTACTTTACAAATAGGCAGATTTTATATTAGCTGGAGAATCTGTTTTGGGTTCAAGAATCAGAGCATGTAACAAACAATAGAGAGAATAATGTTTGAAAAACAATACAGTGATTTAATTCCACAGTCCCATGGTTTATCAGAATTCAGATTATCTTTCACAAAAACCTTACAAAGTAACACGACCAAAGAACTTTGTTCCTAATTACTTGGTGCCTAAAGAAATAACAAATGAATCACTGAGTTTAATGTAAATTTTCTCATTCCATTGAGACACAATGGGAAGAATATGGGTTTTATAGCTAGACCTAGGTTAGATAGAATAGTGCTCTGCTGCTTATGACCTGCAGGACTTAGGGAAAGTTTGGACTTCAGTTTTCATATATAAAAATGGGGATAATAATTGGTTTTCAGTGATGTCATGGAGATAAAGCCTGACATACATTAGGAACTCAGTAAGTGGGAGCTTTTAATGGTTCTTGGCATAATGAGAAATATTCCCCTCCTTTTAAGAAAATAAACAATTGAGTTCTTTTTACGACTCTTAATGTTTAACCTACCTGTTCACTTACTTAAGTGAGGCTAGGACAGTAGGTTTAAATACATCTGTTGCCTGTACTTCTGGTTAGAGTAGGATGACAGATTCTGCAGCATTTCCGTGAATTTCAGTGCTATTTAAAGAGCACTCTACTTGTCGAAGGAACTGTCCTTATTGACAGACAAGACAATGGAGAAAAATTTAAATTCCATGTATAGTCATGTATGTATTTCTCTGTGTATCTGATACATTTTGATAGGTTTTTCTTTTGCAACATCTTTTCTAAATAAAAAGAATTATACTTAAAATATCAAGTTGGACTCAGCAGATTTTAATGTGCTTTGACTGTACAGTAAATAATTTCTCTGCTCAACTTTTGGTAATAGATTCAGCTTCAGCTTCGACGAACACATGCAGGCTTGGGAACAGGTAAACCATCCTCAATTGAAGATGTTCACCTTCTCCAAAACAAGAGCAAGAAGAACTGGGAGAAAGCACGAGAGAGGTTTGCTGAAAACTTCCCAGAAACTAAGCCTCAAAAGGACTCACCAGGGACAGTGCCCTGGGTCAAAGGGACTGTAGAGTGAAGGTCAGTCCTAGAACATAATTCAAGTTTTTTACAGAGTCTGGAACTTTTCCTACCAGAAGAGCTAGTGGCATGAGGGAACCTGTATCACAATTTACTCCCTCATTCAGAAATGTATAATAAAGTGTGGTTTGCAGCTTTTAAAAAACATCTTTTTAAACTAATAAGTAGTGAATGAATCAAGTTATTTGATGGGTGGATTAAAGTTCACAGGGCATGGATGAGCTTATCAAGCTTTGTTATTTTATCTTGTCATTTATAAGACCCACATAAGTAACTAGCCATATCAGCTACATTCATATCCCTACTAATGATTTAAATGTACATTTGTCCTTGTCTCCATATGTTCATTATGTTGAGAAAATATGGGTAGAGGTGCATAAATTTTATTTTCCTTGAAATAACGTTAAGTAATATTATTGAAGAACTAACAAACAGGTGACACGTAGAAAATTAGTCTTTCGTTGTTTTCTTCTGTGAAGAATCTGTTGATTTGTACTATAAAGCATTTACATTGGTTTGTTTCATAGAGGAAATATTTAGATATAAACAATTGAGTACAGTATTGAAATATTCATTGTACTGGCATTTGTAGTTTTGATAAATCCCATTGCTGGCAATGGAGTTTTGCCAGGTAAATCTAATTTCTACTGCCAACAGATTATCTAGCCAAGGCCTCAAACTGGAGTATTTATTGAAAATGTTCTCAAATGCAATAAAAACATTATAACATCAAAAAGAGTGATTCATTGAACCAATGATTTAAACATACTGGTCTGCTTTGAACTCACTACCAGCCAGAATTTTCCTTTTGAAATTGACAGAGCAGAAACAAAGGACACCCTGAAATACTGAGAACTGCAGTGCAGTTTTCTGAGTGCAGGTGTCACTGCTCTGCCAGTTATCAGTATTTTTTCCATTTGACTTTTCTCTTAACTCTTGTCTGGGAAATTAATGCTGGAACTGACCCTCTTTTGGCAGTGAATATAAGCTACAGCTCCCTCATCTACTATAAAGAAATGTCTTCAAGATTTAGAATAGGAAAGAAAAAGTCTGAAGAAAAAAAAAAAGTACAGTAGGGAAAATAATTCAGAAGGAAAGGCTACCTATTGGAATTTCTAGTCTAAATGGTATAGGGTACTTTGAAAGAAAAGGGAGAGAGGAAAGAAAAATAAATTTATTACTAAAGATGAGACATGTGACCAAATTATTAAGTCCCTTAAAACCTAAGTTGGGATAATCAGAAGCCCTAGAACTCCAGATGTGATTATAATATTTTTCTGTATCCTTCCTGGCCACCTACATACCCTAACACAAATATATGTGCATGAGACTTGGAGGCAACAGGAGTTTCCTGCATTTTTTTCTCTAAATTAGAAAAATAACTACTCATCTAAATGTGGTTTGGTACTGGTGCCCCTGTTTATAGTAATGATATAGAATTCCCAAAGTAGATTTTGCTTCTGTGCTTCTGGTAGATCTTACTCATTGGGTTAGTAGACTGTCTACATAGTCCTCATTTTTTTAAAAATAAATTTTTATTCATATTATTACAAATGTTCCTTTTTTTTTTTTCCCCCCTCCATTGCTCTCCTCCACCAGGTTCCCACCCCACACTCTGCCTTTTCCCCACCCCCCATTGTCCTCATCCATAGGTGCACAGTTTATGTTCAGTCTCTTCCCACATCCCCCTCTCCCCTTTTCCCCAAGAATCGTCAGTTCACTCCCCTTCCATACCTCTGATTCTATTATATTCAACAGTTAATATTGTTCATCAGATTTTTTTTTTAGTTTCCTTGGTTTTTAGATTCACTTGTTGATAGTTATGTATTTGTTGTTCATAATTTTTATCTTTATTTACTTTCTCTTCTGAAAGAACCCCCTTCAGCAATTCATATAATTCTGGTTTGATGGTGATGAACTCCTTTAGTTTTTTTTTATTAGTAAAGCTCTTTATCTGGCCTTCGATTCTGAGTGATAGCTTTGCTGGGTAGATTATCTTTGGTTATAGGTTCTTACTATTCATCACCTTGAATATTTCTTGCCATTCCCTTCTGGCTTGCATGGTTTCTGTTGAGAAATTAGCTGACGATCGTATACGTGCTTCTTTATAGGTAACTACCTGCTTTGCTCTTGCTGCTTTTAATATTCTCTTTTTGTCTTTTGCTCTTGGAATTTTAATTATGATGTGTCTTGGTGTGGTCCTCTTTGTTTGGAGTTCTGTGCGCTTCCTGGACTTGTAAGTCTAATTCTTTCACCAAGTGGGGGAAGTTTTCTGTCATTTTCTTTCAGTATGTATTTGATATCTTGCTCTCTCTCATCTTCTGGGACCCCCATAATTTTGATGTCAGTTTGCTTGAAGTTGTCCCAGAGGTTTCTTACATTATCTTCAATTTTCTGGATTCTCTTGCCTTCTTGCTTCTGCGGAGGAGTGTCTTCTGGCTCTTTATGTTCCAACTCTTTGACTTGATTCTTGCGATCTTCCATTCTGTTTTTAGGACTCTGTATAATATGTTTTATTTCAAACAATGTATTCTTTATTTCTTGTTGATCCCTTATCATTTCTTGTTGATTCCTTATTAATTCTAGTTGATCCCTTTTCATATCCACATAGGTCTTATCGACCTTTTCTAGGAAATTATTGAAAAACCTTATAAGCGTAGATTTGAACTCTATATCCAGTCGCTTTTTGTCCTCCATTTCTTTCGTTTGTGATCTATTTTGTTGCAGCTTCCCTGATGGGGCGGGGTTTCAGGGTGGAGTCTGCAGCCTTGGCTTCCGTCAGCCCCACCCTATGCGGTTCCTGAGTCTCAGTAATTCCCAGGGTCTTCAGTACTCCCTGCAAGCACCTCTGAGAGAAAGGTGCCCTCGATTTTCGCCTGCTACCAAACAGTCTAGCCTCTCCCCCAATGAGCCCGGAATTGGGGCTCAGTTCAGTTGGAAATGGGATTGGAGGTGGCGTTCAGAGCAGTCTGGAGCCCCTGTCTTCTTCCCGCCAGGGTAATCCCGCGGCACAGCCAACCATCCCTTCTCTGCGCTCAATGTGCGCACCTCTGGGACCTCTTTTTGCCGCTCCCCCGGGGTTCCGCCTTACAGCCCAGCTCCCTCTGTTTGAGCCTGGGTCCCTGGGGTCTGGCCTAGAACTGGGGTTCAGAGCAGTCGGAACTGGGGCCCAGTACAGTCGGAGCTTTTATCTCCTTCCCGCTAGGAAATGCCAGCCAGGCAATCAGCCGCCCCTTCTCTCTGGCTCCATCCTCTCAGTGCGCGTCGGGTGTCTCCATACCTTAGGCTTTTATAGCTCCTCCGTGCTTCCTTCTGGTTTTTTCCTTGCTTCTTGTTGTAGAATTTCCAGTCAGTCGACTTTCCTGTAATTCTGGGTAATGTCCATTTTATATTTTAGTTGTATTTTATTGAAATTGTTGTGTGCGGCTGCAGCTAGGTGTTTGCCTGTGAAGCCATCTTGTATTCTCCATAGTCCTCATTTTTATTATTGGGTTGCTGAAAACTTTTTTCATTGTTTTCTTTTGTTAAGAAAATGGAAACTTGAAAATGGTGATTAAAAACTGAAATACATATGATACTTGCATAATTAAACCCCTTTGCAGATCAAAGTCTCAGGGCTACCTTGTATAGTGGTTAAAGCACTGAATATGTCTATGTCTATTTCCAATTGTGAAATAATATTCTTCTCACATGTCTGTCTTAAATAGAAAATTAGCAAATGTATATAAAAGCACTTTGTAAACCATAAAAGTAGTACAAATATGAGCTTCTGTTTGTTCAGAAGCATACATGTCAATTATGTAGAATTTGGATTACACATAAAATTGTTTTGTGTCTAGTGTTTTAAATAACAGTTTATTCACAATGCATAAATTTATTAATGTAATAGCCTTTAAGTGTTATTTTAAATGGAGCTACAAGTTGCTAATTTGAGAAATCTTAACATTTTATATTTTTGCCAGAACATAAAAAGCTGGTAAAATTGAGAACAGAAGAAACCATCAACATTAAAGAAAAATAACAGAAATTGTTTTCTATAATTAGTTAGGAAGTACTTTTTCTAAAAAAGAAAGGAATTGTTTTCTTCTTTTAAACAGTTTTTACTTCTGATGTTTCATTTTTATTCTACTTGTGAATTTAAGAAAAGGTATGGTTCACCCGAATCAAATACCTTACAACTTATCATGTAAAAGATTATTTTCCTAATTTGGTACATTTTCAAATTGCAGGCAAAAGAAGATAGAAATTTCCAACATGGTAGAGCAGGAGGTATCAGAGATTTTGCACAAGGCCACCCTATCACATTGCAGGACAGAGGGATGCTTGGCAGGGAGCCAGAAAGGCATTTCTGGACCAACACATTCTCAGGAACAGTTGAAAGTATTTTCTCTAACATTTTATTCTAAATGTGCTTATTTTTGTAGGGCATCACTTTTGTGTCTGAATCTTTGATTCAAATGTTTTATTTTACCTTTTTAGTCTGTAAAGTTGGAAATACATTTGGATTCTTTAAAATGAGTCAGTTTTCGTGTGTGTGTGTGTGTGTGTGTGTGTGTGTGTGTCTCTTCTCTGTTTGTCTCAAACTAGCTCTCACTCTGTCTTTCTGCTTTACTGTCTTTAGTGTTGACTGTGGCTTTGTAGTTGCAAAGTGACTTTTGGAATGTCAGTCACTGGAAGAAACTGACAGGAAGAAAGGGTAAAGAGTAGTGTTTGTGTTAGTTCTCTTTTATCAGGAGAGAGAAGCTTACTCGGAAACTCTCATAGCATACTTCTCCTTAGGGTCAGTAGCCAGAACCTGGTAACATGGCTACCCACAGCTACAAGGGAAGCCGAAAAGGTGGGCAGCACAATGGTCTTAATTGACTTAAGCCAACACCTGCGGCTGACCATGTTGCTACTGGAACAGAATTGGGGTTCAGTGAGCAAGGCAGAAGGGGAACAGTTGAATGAGCATGTCACTATCTGCCAGAGGGTTGGTTAAATTGTGATAACAGTCTT